GCCTGGCCTGATACTTAAAGGAGAACTATGGGGTTAAGACTTTTCCCCATAGTTCTCCTTAGGGTAACGGGAGGACACAAACTAGCGTCCTCCCGTCACTCTAGGCTCAGTATACCGCGAGCTGTAGCTCACGGTATACTGAGACGCCGCAGCTGAAGCGGATCCCAACAATTGATTTATTATGCCAAGGGTTAAGACTTTTCCCCATAGTTCTCCTTAGGGTAACGGGAGGACACAAACTAGCGTCCTCCCGTCACTCTAGGCTCAGTATACCGCGAGCTGTAGCTCACGGTATACTGAGACGCCGCAGCTGAAGCGGATCCCAACAATTGTGCTGGGATCCGCCCAGCTGCGTGATTGACAGCTGGCTCTGCCTATCTAGAGGCAGAGCCAGCTGTACCCGCCCCCTCCCCCGTCCGTTCCACCAGTCAGCGCTGGAGGATCGGAGCGGGGAGGGGGGAATCCAGCCCCTCCCCTGTCACGGCAGAGAGCCGTGACAGGATCGAGAGGTGAGCGAACGCCGGTATGTGTTCGCTCACCTCCCGATCTACTGAGCCGACCTGTGACAGTCTCATTGTCACAGGTCGGCTAGAACTATGAGGTTTAAGCCTCTGGTATCAGGACGCCGGGCAGCAAGTCATTACATGCTGCCTGTTTTCCTGACTGGCCAGGAAGCCAGCTCCATGCTCCTTCGTCAAGAGAGCATGAAGCCGGCTTCCCGGCCAATCAGGAAGCCGGGCAGCATGTCATTACACCCCACCCCCAGCTTTCTGATTGGCCAGAAATCCGCCTTCATGCTCCCTCGTCACCTGGTGCATGGTTGGCCAGGAAGCCGGGCGCCATGTAATGGCACGCCGCCCAGCTTCCGGATTGGCCTGCTTCATTAGCCAGAAAGCGAGCTCCATGCTGTCTCGTCACCTGGTTTGGTCTGTCCAAAGGACATTGTTCCAGAAGTCTTGTGGCTTGTTCAGATGCAACTTTGCAAACCTAAGCTGAGCTGCCATGTTCTTTTTTTAGACAGAGCAGGATTTCTCCTGGCAACCCTTCCAAACAAACCATACTTGTTCAGTCTTTTTCTAATTGTACTCTCATGAACATTAACAGTTGACATGTTAGCTAACCGAGACCTGTAGAGTCTGTTCAGTTCTCTGCGCATTGCACGTTCTGACCTCATGGGGTGAATTTGCTGGGACATCCACTCCTGGGAAGATTAGCAATGGTCTTGAATGTTTATCACTTGTAAATAATCTTCCTCAATGTTGAATGAAGTACTTAAAATTGTTTGGAAATGGCCTTATAACCCTTCACAGATTTGATGGGCAGCAACCTTTACTTCTTTAAGGTAAATGCTGATGTCTTTCCTCCTTGGCATTGTGTTAACACACACCTGAATGTTCCAGACCAGCAAACTGCTAAAATGTCAGCTTTTATAGAGGTGGTCTCACTTGCTGATCAATTAATAAAGGGCATTTGATAAGCAGCACCTGGCTGCTACTTAGCTTCCTAATTCCTATGGAAGCAGTGAGGGTGTACTTAGTTTTTCACACATAACTTCTCCATTTTGGTTTTATGTATGTAAAGTAAATAATGCCACGGTGTAAGATGTCATATGATGATGTTCATCTGAGGTTGTATTTATCTAATTCTATTACCTGCTAAGTAACAGATGATTTGTATTATGTCTCGATACTTAAAACCATAGAATTCAAAAAGGGTGTACTTTCTTTTTCACACAACTGTATATCCAGCTACAATGGGTGGTGATGGAGAGCAAGGTATGTGAGCACGTGTTTATGTGCGAATGTGTTGCCCAAAACCTGGTCTACCCATGTGGACTAGGTGGTGTCATCAACAGCAGTGGGCTGGCGGTTGTATTTGTGTATGTTTAATTACGCTTTTGTTACATTTAACACATTTTGAAATATACATAAGCATAAAAGGTTATGTAAGAAGGTTAGGGGAGGGACAGAAGAGCTGGGCCAGCACAGAGAGTAAGAAGACACTACCAGAGTGGGAGAGGACTATGACATCTCAGAAGGGAGGTGGCTGTGTTAGAGAATTGACTCTTCCTGACTTGTCACATTTTCTGTCAAGTTCAAAGGCATATTGCAAGTGACTAAAAAATAATTTATGAATGAAAAAAACACTGCACACAAGTATTCAAAATACTTGAATTTTCTGTGCTTCTACCTGCAGTATTTGAGTTAATGAAGGGTCCCTTCAAGTGCATGTTTGGGTAATTTAAATAAAAAAAAAAACACATTCAGCACATCTTCAGCAATATTTGTACATTTCTGCATGTTTTATACCTTTGAAAAAATACTGCAAGTACAAAAAAACAAATACTTGTTGATCTACCAATGAGCTCCTGACTTTCTGTTTCGGTTGACAACACAGTGCTTCTGCTGCAATGAAATCTAAGGCAGTGTTGTCAACCCTTCCCGCACCTCCCTTGCTGGACTACTGAACCCCCCCAACTGATCACCATAATAGCTCATATTACTATGCGTACAACACTGTTTCCTTTTCTATGGTTGTCATTTGCTGCTTGAACCTGTAGTAGGATGATTATAGGTACTGTACTTATACATGCACAGTGGCCATTGAATTAAATAGCTGCACATGGGTATACGCTGGTACTTATATACAGCTATGTATGTGCACAAATGTAAATACATGGGCACAGAAGACCTACATCCAGGGATTTATATGTGAATGCATACACAGTTGTACCCAAGTACTGGTGTACCAATGTACAGGGCCGGATTTACTCTCTCTGCTGCCCCAAGGCCAGCTTCCTCAATGCGCCCCCCTACCCATAAAAAAAAAAAGCTTTATTGAGAAACACAAGATAAATACTTTATGACATAAATAGTGCAACCTTCAGGATAAAATGTGCAAATAGTAAAATAAATCTCACATGTGGGTGGGAACCACCCTTAATGCTGAACTCCAACCAGAGTTAAGGAATGCAGTCATGTCATCTTTCTGGCTACAGCTTGCTGATTGGATGAGGAGCAGCGCAGTGATGAATCACAAACTCGGTTTTTCTGCTCCTCTGAGCACATTCCCTTTCAGCAGATGCATATGCAGTGGACCCTAGTGGCTCCCAGTATGGCCCTTCCCCTACCAGCTGCTGTGCAAGGCATGGCAGGAGGCTAATACAAGACAGATTCAGATACTTATGTATTTTTATACCTGCTTAGAGTTCAGCTTTAACATTGACATATTTGGGGGTTTATACATTGGCCGTAGCTTAAAAATGAACATTATGAAGCAAGTCTTTTTCCCAAGAATCACAAAGGAGCTTGTGACTGTCACTCACGGCTCCCTGCAGGGATTCCTCCCTCCCCTGTCCGATCCTCCAGCGCTGACTGGCGAAACGGACGGGGGACGGGGCGGGCACACCTGGCTCTGCTTCTGGATAGGCAGAGCCAGCTGTCAATCACGCAGCTGGGTGGATCCAGACAGTATTGTCGGGATCCGCTCCGGCTGCGGCGTCTCAGTATACCGCGAGCTGTAGCTCGCTTTATACTGAGCTTTGGGTCATGGGAGAACGCTAGTTTGTGTTCTCCCGTGACCCTTAGGAGAACTATGAGGAAAAGCCCTGACCCCATAGTTCTCCTTTAATAGTACCAGAAGCAAAGCACTCATTTACAAAGTGCAATGATGCAGAGCAACCAATCAAAATTTACTTCTGGGCAGTCACACCAGCACAAGATGGATTCTAATTATTTGCTGTGGTCGTTGCACTTGACATGTAACTCTTTGGTCCAGAATAAAACTAGAGGTCTTTAAAATTGCAAATAGACAGTAAAAACTGCGCCACTAAGTACCCAAGACAAAGGAAAGCTGTCATAAGAAACACACGGAAGCTACTATTGCTGACTTCTCGGTCTGAGGTGACTAGCTTCCTGTTCTTATGTTGTCACTCTTGCTCCACCACTGACAACTGTCTTCAAACATGTAAGCAAATGAGGATGTCTGACTTTTCTTCATATGGCCAACAGTGTCTGGACTCCTGACCTTCACACCTACTATATGGTCAAAATATGTGGACACCCCTCCAAAGAATTGAGTTAATGTGTTTTCAGTGAAGGGTACTGTTAATGCTACAGCTCACAAATACATTTTAAGCAATTGTGCTTCTTCAACCTTCTGGTAACAGTTTGGTGAAGGCCCCTTTCAGTTCCTGCATGTGGCCCTGTGCACGAGGTCAGCCCCATAAGAACAATGTTTGACAAGTCTGGTGTGGAGGAACTCAAGTTGCCTTTATGGAGCCCTGACATCGACCATACAGAACACCTTTTGTGTGGAATGTAACACAAGTCAGGTCTTCTCACTCTAAATCAGTACCTGACCTCACAAATGCATTTTTTGCTGAAATTCCCACCGACACATTTCAAAATCTTGAGGAAAGCCTTCCTAGAACAATGGAGGCTGTTGTTGGTGCAAGGGGGAAGGGAGGACATTCTCCATATTAATGCCTATGGTTTTGGAATAGGATGTCCAACAAGCTCATATAGGTGTGATAGTCAGGTGTCCAAAAACTTTTGGCTATATAATGTACTTGTTCTGGGACATTAAAAACAATGTTGAAGCCAAAAGGTCAGCATAACAGCCCATCTACTGGCATTTTTCGCAAGGAGGTTAGTAATGCTAACCCTCATGTGTCTGTTAGGACAGGTTAGCTTTAAAGCTGAGTGCTACTTCAGATATCCATCTTTACCAATTTCTAAAAAAAGTGCCCTTCCTTTCCCAAATTAAAATATTTGGTGATCACTTTTCCAGCACGCCTCAATTTGCTTTCTTTTCAACTTCTGAAAAAACCTTTGTAAGTCGCTTTTCAAGATGATTTTGAGTTGTTGCAGTACAGCCGGCTAAGGGGCAAGTCAATGGAGTGGTGGATTAAACCTTAGAAGAGGCTTATCTGTCCTTCTGACCTCATTTGAGTTTCCTATACATGGCTTCTCACCGACCAATCTGGTACCATATTATTATTATTTCAGTCTTGTACCAATGCTGTCATTTGTTTTATGTTTCTCAACCGAAAGCTCCGACAGCTCAAGGAATCTGGCTTTCCCGACCTTAATCTCTTCTTTCACAACATTTTTCATAGTCTCGGATGTAAAGTAATATAAGAATGGGTCAAGAATCGTATTAATGCAGGCTACCAGTAGAGTGATGCCATAGGCTTTGTCCAGGTAGCAAGTTTCAGTTTCAAACTGATAGAGGAGTAGGACGGTGTGATAGGGGAGGAAGCATAGCAGGAATATTAATATGTTGGCAGTCAACATACGAACAATTTTCACCTTATTAATCATTCCTTCTTGAACCACCTGACTACGTTTCATTGCCTTCAACAAGGCCACCGAGCTAAACGTAATGATTAGAGCCGGAAAGAAGAAACCAATCGTAAGAGACGGTATGGTGGCGACTTTCCTAGTAACATAGGGGGGTTTCCCATTAAGGCAGTTACTGATGTTACTATTATTTATGTTGTTTTTATTATTACTCATAAATAAAATAATGGAGCAAGCAACCACATTATATATCCATACACCGGCACAAATCCAACATGCACCTTGACGAAGACGTCGGGAACGAAGGGGATAACAAATGGCCAAACACCTATCCAAGCTAATGCAGGTCAATAAGAAGATACTTCCGTACATGTTGAGAAGAAGAATAGCACCGGCAATTCCACACACTGAAAAAATTTCTGTATTTGATGGGTTTGGAAGGGCATGACCATAGATGCGTAGAGGCAGAGTGAACACCAATAACAGGTCAGCAAAGGCCAGGTTCTTCATGTAGACAGTGGTGGGTGAACGTTGTTGCGGGAGGTGGCAGAGGAAATACATGGCAAAGCAGTTGATGATTAGACCCAGCACGGCGATGATTGAGTACCCACTCACGTACACGGCAGAGCTGATTTCCGAGCAGTTGCTGTTATTAGGCATTTGTGTCTCCGAAGTGATCAACTTTTCTTATGCACTTGGGCTACGTCCTTTTTCTTCAGACCTGAAATAAAAATTCATTAGAATACTCTGCTATGCATGGTCATTTAGTAGCTCGCTACTCAAAGTCTATTTATTCCTTTCAACAACAAGTTCAAGGGGTCTCCTTTGATCTTTGCAAAGTGGGTACTTTTCTCATGCATTCAAGTGAACCCACGCTTTACCCATGCAAGGAAAAGCAACAGGTTTACAAAATTGTGGCTGAGAGAGGTCTACTATTGTGTCTGAACAATCATAACCTGGCACTATAGTTGACTCCATGTATTTGACATGGAAATGGGACAGAAAAGAATGGATGCCATCTCATGATTATGGGTGGCTTCAAATTTCAGAAGCCTCTGTCCAGTTGGTTTCTGTCCTTCCTCACCTGCTAGAATGCCTCCCTCCCAGATCAATACAAATAATATCTGTTGGGTGGAGATACTATTCAGAACTCAGTGTGGGACCCGCAGTCAATTATATGTGCTGGGCGTTATATAGCTACCTGCTCCCTATTCAGACAAGCAGTCTTCCATCATTTACTTCCTTTGCAGCTCTGATATGTGAAGAATGCAAAGAGCCGCAAAGGAAGTCAGTGTTGGAAGAAAGCAAAACTGTTCAATGTGTTGTGCTTATCTGTTAGGAAAGATGAATGATGAGCATTATCTGTAATGATGGCATGATATTTCATTTAGTATTTTATTTAGATGAGTCTGTACTATGTTCACAGAGCAGCTACCATCTTTGTTACCTCATAAACTACTATATCACTTACAAATCATCCCTCACAATCCCCCATATTAAGACACCCAGGACTCTCAGCCAGAGGGGCTGAGAGGTACCAGAATGAAAATAGTTTTGCAGGCAAGAAGCTGACCTTTTAGTTTTTTAGTTTATTCCAGGTTTTTCTTGATTGTAGCTGGGATCTGGATCATTGGAGATTACTTAGTGTTCTGGGTGGGATGAAATCTCCAGTCCTGAGGTCAGGTGTTGCCAGTGATCAGGTGAGTCCAGCCTCATTAAGAGCCCAGACCAAAGCTCAAGGGTGGAATTGGTTTGAGGCACACAAGGGCCAAGCCAGGTTTGGTGTGTGCTGGAAGCACATGAGGAACAGCCTGGGAGGATGGAAGGTTTAGAGAGGCTGAGAGATCCAGGGACACAAGGTGTGTGTGTGTAATCAAAAGCTGCTGAAAGCTGCTCCAGGGCACAGAGTATTCCTGAAGAGATTGTGTTGAGGAAAACAGTAAAGTCCTGGGACACTGAACAGGACAACCTGAGAATGGTGAGACTATCTGTTTTCCAGGCATACTGTATGTTGTACTGCTGAAGAAAGTTATTTTATGTTGAACTTCCTTGGTTGTCTGCATTTGAAGAAATAAAAGACTGTCTTTCTCTGTTAAAATGGCTCAGAGACTGGTCCTTAAGCGCTCACCTATTTTTTAAGACAACAACCACCTCTCGCTTTTTGCTTGGTCTACTTTCCTTAGCCAACTGTGATCTGTACCTACCATGAGAAGGCCAGATGGTTGTGTTTGTCTCCCAGTCCTCCCCTGAATAGCAGTCACATAAGTCTACAATGCAAATTCACAATTCAAGTATTATGCAATTTCTAAAGAAATAATTTAAGAACAGTCTGCAGTGGTATTACAAAAAGAAAAAAGCAGAACTCGTCCCCTGTCTTCCACGTATCGGTTTGTACACTGGAAAGTTGGATGGTTTGGGCCAGCCATGTGAAGAAAGGCTACTAAGGGTGGACATACACAGCCCAGATCTGGACATGTCCTGCAATAATAAGCCAATTTAGAAGTAAACATAGGTATGATAATGACCGTTTTTTTTTGCGGTTGCAGTGGCTTGCATGAGGACAGCTACATATCTCATGCTTGGTGTGACATTCACTCGTCAATAACAATGCCAAGGAAATGGCCTTAAAGCCGCATAAAACTGCTCTTTTAACCCTTTCGCTGCCAAGCCCTCCGGAACATTTTTCAATAGTGCTGGGCTTTCTCATTGGAGTGCAGAGCTAGTGCTGGGCTTTCTTATTGGAGTGCAGAGCTAGTGCTGAACTTTTTTTATTGGACTTCCTACTATGTACAGGCAGTCCCCGAGTTACATACATGCGACTTGCATCCGACTCCTACTTACAAACAGAGGCTATTATTGTACAGCAGGGGTAGTTGTAATGCTACCGCGCTCGTGCTGATGAGGATTGCTCGCCTTTTTGGGTCTGGTTCGTAGTACTGTACGTACATTACAGGAAGTTGGCTCTTGTTAGACGTGCAGACGAGGTGCGCTCTTCTTCCGGGTCACTGTGAGGTTTTTACTGCTGTCTGTATCCTCATTAGAAAGATTTATTCTCACTTCCTGTCCTTGAAACAACAGGAAGTGAGAGGAAATCTACCACTAGCCCTATCATGGTAAAACGGTGTCTCCACTGAAGCTTTATCACCAATCCAAAATTTTCAGAAACCACTTGTCACAGGGACAGAAAGTGAGGTGAAACCTTCTGTGCAGGGGCACACACAAGCAAAACAAACATTACAGTGGGTTAACGCTTCCCTATGCTATCTAAAGCACAAAAAAAAAATTGTACACACTGAATTATAGAGGTTGCATAGAGTAGCAGATATATGGGAAGCCACATACCACAATGAGGATACCCCAACAAGTAGAATTATGCACTAATTCATCTATGAAAATACCAACATTTGGACAGACTTCCTGGTAGGTTCATTCAAAAGTGGATTTGTGTCAAAAATGTAAGGCAGCCTTATTTTGGAATGTAGCATGTATGAAAATTTGGAGGCACGTACATGAGAAAATGCAAAAGTTAGAAGTTTGGCTACAGTGGGAGACAATTCCCAAAGCCAAGGCAATGGTCACTGCAACTGGTGAGAATCTTGCGTCTATGGTTTAGCTCAAACCATTATTATTCGCTGAGCAGAGCACGTGATATACGCTTTCTTCTTTGTTTAAATTTATTTTTCAAACTGTGTTCCACACACCTCTGATGGAGGACCTCTGATGTGCAACAGCCTAGTCGTCTATACCAGCGGTCGCCAACCTTTCAGGCCTCATGGACCACTAAATTCAAAATTTTAAATCCCGCGGACCACTAATATGAATTTTTTAAAAATAGATATATTCTCATATTTTTTTTCCCCCTCATACATAAATATATCTATATATACATACAGTATATATATACATACAGTATATATACACATACATACATAGGTGCGGGTGTGCCTGCAGGAGTGGCAGTGCTGGTGGAGGGAGGGAGCGGTGCAGCCGGCCCAGTAATAATATTAAATGTTCCCCCCCCCCTTATCGAATCTGCCACTGGCCCTGCCGGCGGCGCCCGGGGCACATGCCCCTCCTAGCTTCAGCACTGCCCCCAACCATCCGCGTGCCTCCCCTTCCTCCACACTGAGCCACTATTACCTGGCTTCTTCCACTTTTTCTATATCCCACAGTCTGCTCAGTCCGGGTACTGATGAGATGCCCCACCTCCTGCAGAGAGCCGCGCATTCCTTGTGACAGCCGCTGCTTGAGTCAGCAAGAGGCAGCCCCGGAACCTCTGTGCCGCTTCAATGACGGCCCAGCCTGCACGCATCAGAGGGGCCCGAGGACCACCAAAATGTTCTCGCGGACCACTGGTTGGCGACCGCTGGTCTATACTATGTCACTGATTGTCCACCAGTCTCGACAATCACTTACATAGACCTTCTACATTTGACCCTCTACATTTATAGTCCACCAAGCATTTGCCACACAGCAGATGAAGAGTTTAGCCTTAAAAGACCCTACATATTGGACACCATTCTGCAGATGGGATGAATGTCAAGTGGAAAGAAGATGGAGGCATTTTTTTTACAATATGGGAGCAGGGCAGTTGTTTTGAGCTGAAAAAACTTTGAGTGATCCGAGTAGAAAAAGAGAGAATAGCACAGGAATAAGGCGGACCATATACTATACAATCTTACTATATCTACCATTTACAATATAGTGCAATACTAATTGAATGGAACATTTGCCCTCATCGCACATAGTTTTGGTGACTTTAAAGGAGATTCTACAGTGTATGGCCATCTGAAGGCAGCACATAAAGGTGTACTCTGATAGGACACAAAGCAGATAACAGTTTGAATACCTGATTAGTAAATTGGTATAAAAAGAAAACACTCACATGGCCCGTTGGGTGTGCTCTGTCCTAACCTTGCACCCTTTCAGATGACTAGATCAAAAGCTCCGACAAGGCAGCATATGGTTGTGCAGGGTATGGTGCTTACATAGACCAGAATGCAGATGAGCACTGTGCTTTTTTTTTTATTTTTAGTTTCTTTCGAGACTGCCTGACTGTCTCAGACAGCTTTGCTCTTTGCTATGAATTTGAATATCCTGCAGCTTGATACAACCAATCCCCAATGGGAATTTGTACATCAAAATTAAGCCTTAAGAATACCACTCATCAGTGAGGCTAATCAGAAAAAAGGGCTTTAATATGCTAGGGAGCATAAAGATTGGACTGTGGAGTAGTAATGCACCGATACCGATACTAATATCGGTATTGGTGCCGATACCAAGTGTTTGGGCAGCTACGGGTACTCACCCAAATGCTCCGATACTTACCTCCAATACCAGAACTTCCGGTAGCATGGAGCCGGCTTCCTTTCCAATCAGGAAGCCGGGCGGTGGGTTATGTCATGTCATGATGTGCCTCCCAGCTTCCTGATTGGCTAGGAAGCCGGCTTCACTTGTTGCTAGGCAGCCTGGCTTCCTAATCAATCAGGAAGCAGGGCGGCATGTCATGACCTGCCTCCCTCATTTTTTCTGACAGCACAACATGACCCACCGCCCGGCTTCCTGATTGGTCAGGAAGCCAGGCAGCCTCGGCAAGTGAAGCCGGTGTTCTTTCGATAGAACATCGGCTTCCCAGGCAATCAGGAAGCCAGGCGATGGGTCATGATCCGCTGCGCGAC